AAATGAAGGGGTAGTAGAGGAGTAATAGAGGACTTTAAAAGAAAATAAGAGAAAAAAAACAAGAAAAAAAATTTTTCCTAATTAAAAAAATCATAAAAATATATGAAAATGAAAGCTAAGGAGTAATGGGGGAGTAATAGGGAATTTTAAAAGAAAATAAAAGAGAAAAAATAAAAAAGAGAAGAAAAGAAAAAAAAATTTTTTAATTAAAAAAAAATAAAAGGTAAAAGTATATCTGGGAATTTCTCTGGAGCTGTTGAGGTCAGTGGGTTCGGTTCAGTTTCATATAGCTCCTCGTTCCAGCTTACACTTCTCGATATCTATAGGCCCCTTCTGGTGTAGTCGGTGTTACCTACAGGGATTTTAATCTGTTGCACCGGTCCTTTCTGAAGCGGTTCCCTTTGTTTATTTGGCTTCTGTTTGCCGGTCTCTTCAGTGTCTAATTTCCGCCCTGACACAGGCGGGCGGAGGTGGTCTCTTGTTCAGGTTCGCTAGTTCCGTGGCGCTGCTGGGGGGGCGGGGGAGCTGTTTTCCCCGTCTACGCTGCTCAGGCTCCTGGCTGCTCTATATGGAGCGTGCCCTGCGTTGCGTGCAGTTCCTGCCCTCGGGTGTTCCACAAAAGCGTAGACTCGGTTACGCCTGCATTTTGTGCCTTCCCCGGCCCGAGCAGCTCAGGCAGCCAGGAGCTTGACGGGCGCACTCTCCCCGGGTGCGGTGCGCCTTCTCCCCTCCGCGGCCCCAGCCTCAGTTTCCGCCCGCGCCCGGTCGCCGTTGGGTGCGTGCACCCTGTGTTTAGCCGCGACCCTCCCGGCAGATGTCGACCATCCAGAATCTCAGGAAGTCTTTGGTTAGAAACTGGAGGCCTGCTTGCAGTGTGGTAGGGGATGCCGTCTTTGGGGCCGAGTTTGCCCCTTTCCCCTCCCCACTGCCTCCTGCCTCTGGCGGGGCTGGGCCCGGCCGCAGCCGGCTAGCTCCTCTGGACTTGCTCAGACCCTTTGTTCTGCGAACAGCCGGCAGTGGGTTCGGGCCGGTTAATTTTCTCTCTTTTCCTGTCCCACAGTTTAAGTTGGTATCTCACAAAAGCTTCCTCCGATTGCCCTCAGGGCACCCAGGCCCGGTCCTTACCCTAAGCAATGCTGCCCCCTCCTCTCCGTTCTGCCCCCACTTGCTGGTGGCGGATGCGGGCGTCTGGGGTACTTTTCTGCTGGGTGTTGCTTTTAGGCACTTAATCTGTGTGTTTTATTTATTTTTTTCCTCCCAGTTAGATTGGGTTGCCCTCCGAGATTCAAAAACTTCCCCTAGACCCGCCAGTGCGAGGGTTTCCTGGTGTTTGGAAACTTCCTCTATTAAGACTCCCTTCCCGGACAGGTCTCTGTCCCTAGCTCTTTTGTCTCTCTTTTTATCTTTTATATTTTGTCCTACCTCCTTTTGAAGACAATGGGCTGCTTTTCTGGGCACCTGATGTCCTCAGCTAGCGATCAGAAGTTGTTTTGTGAAGTTTGCTCTGCGTTGAATTGTTCTTTCGATGAATTTGTAGGGGAGAAAGTGGTCTCCCTGTCCTATTCCTCCGCCATCTTGACTCCTCCTAAATAATATCTTTTAACAAATCCCTTTTATGTTTCAACTATTCAGAGTGGATTCCATTATTTGTGATAAAGAACTCTGACTGATAAAATTGCTATATTTAGTAAATCGCATGTTCCATCAATTATAAGAGGCAAGTTATTTGAATTACTAAATGAATAATATGAATCACTAAAAAGAATAGAGGCTTGAAATAAAAAATAGAGGCTGTTACATGCCATTAATGGTAAGATATATTCTGATTTTAGAGTTGTTTAAATCAGAAAAAAGTGTGCCTCTGGATCAATGAAATATGATATTAGCCAATGGAATTCTCCCCACCCCCACCCCACATGAAATTGACAGATGGCTGATTTTAAAAGAATAGTTGTAAAAGAATAGTATTATCTGGGAGGAAAAATAAAACCATACCCAGTTCTTATAAATGCAGAGATATGTGATTGCTCAATTCCAGAAAAATCCCTAAGACACCACCAGAAAGTGTAGTGCTAATCAGTTCAGTGTCCCATACAGAAACCCTCCCACAATGGTGGTCTCAGAGCACTGGATAAGGAATCTCATTTTTGTGGGCAAAGCCTGGGGCAGCCAGATTGGCTGATGGAAGAACTCCGTAGTCAAAGAAGTGAGTCAACCAATAGCTGCCAAGAGATCTTCTAGTTCCATCATTTTCATTGTTACTCATGGCCAAAATACATTCTATTATGGCCACTATATAATGGCCACTATACAATTACTGGCCACTATACAATGCTTTCTTTCTACTCCATTTTACTCTCTATTTCTTCCATCTCTAACTATCAGGAGGCTTTTATGTGGGTGGGTGGGGAGGAGTGGTTTAAAGGGTACAAAGAACATTGGTCCTGTGATTTAACCTCCAGAAGCAACAGCTGGATGTGTCATTGAGCTGTCCTCCACTGAAAAGGAAGTTAATTTGCTGGCATATATACAGTGGGATAGCTGGATGAAACAGGTGAGGGCATTTCTGGAACCATACATATAGGTAAACAATGTGTGCTGTGCAAACAATGAACTATAGTGAACAAATGCCATTCTGCTTTTTCAGAATCTCTCTTCTTCTGCTCTGTTCATCCCAAAGTCCATACAGTTATGACTGTAGGGCCATGTTAAGCAACCTGTTCCTCATCCATTCCTTGGCCCCAGTTAATTGGTCCAAGCCTCTAACTAAGCTGAGCCAATCAAAGTGCTTCCTGAGTAACATGCAAACTGCAGCCAAAAAAACGAAGCCAGTGTCTTTTTGGATGCCTAGACAGTATGATTTTAAGCTTTGGGGTTGTCTGAAGTTTTGTTTTTCAGCACATGGACCAGAAGAGCATTGGAAGTCAGTCTTGGGGTGGGGATGACAATACTCAGGGAAGGCAGGAGATGGAAATGAAGGAGACAGAAAATAAGAGAGATGAAAAGTGGAGAGAGAAGCTAATGGCTTTTGTACCTATTAGTTTCAGTTGTTCTTGAGGCATCCTTGTCTTTAGGTTTCAGGTATCTGATTATAAATGTATCTTTTTGTTTATACCAGTTCCTATTTTTCCTGGATGAGTTCTTTCACTCTCTTCGACTGCTACTCCTGTGCTAAAACTCACAAAATGCTATCTTCAACCTGGACCTCTCTCCTGCACCTCAGACCTGTTTATCCAACCATCTAGTGAACATCTCAACTTGGATGTCCAATTGGCACTTGAAACTCAACATACCCAAAACAGAACTCATCACCTCCCCACCTCAAACCCCTGTTGAAACTTACTCCTTTTCCTGTGTTCTCTATCTTAGCAAATAGCATCATGGTACCACTATCACTGGGCTTCCCTGGCGGCTCAGCGGTAAAGAATATGGAACCCAGGAAACCCGGGTTCCATCCCAGGGTGGGGAAGATCCCTTGGAGGAGTACTCCAGTACTCTTGCCTGGAGAATCCCATGGACTGAGGAGCCTGGTGGACTTCAGTCCATAGGTCTCAAAGAGTCAGACACAACTGAAGCATCTGAACATGCACACATGCATCCCTATCACCAGCCTGGGGGTTATCCCAGACTTTTCCTCCCTCTTACTCCTCCTATCCAATAGGTTTAGGGCTCTAAGTCCTGCCAATTTTAACTTAGAGAATTATATTCTCAATGCTTTCTTGATCTCTCCATTCCTATTTCCCTACGTCATTTCAATCCTTTGCCTCGCTCTCAAATGCCTTCTATCCCTTCTTCTACCCAGCAGCCCAAATCATCCTTCTAATTTCTGAATATGATCACATTTACTCCTCTGTTCAAAATTTCTTCAGTGGCTCCCCACTGTCTTCTGGATAAAATCTAAACTCCTGCAGCTGGGTCACAAATTCACTCATATTACACTCAGATGTGCAATATTATTAGTCTTCTCTCTTTCCTAGAACTGATTTGATCTTGTTCACAGTGCCCCCACCCTGCTGGGTAACAGGAGCAGGGGAAACTAAAATTAATCCACTCTGGTAAATTCAGTCGGGTCTGAAAATTTATTTTAGACAGGTCTAAGTAACTCAGTAGGTTTGGATGACTCAGCCTTTCAGGTTGTTTTACCCTTCCCTGTCTCATTTTCAATACAAGACTTGGATTTATAGAGATGTCATTGACGGAAGGGCGTCCCTTACCCTGGTCCCTGGGGTTGTGTCACTTGGCATTTGCTGAGATGTGGCATTTGCTGAGATGTGTCTGGTATAAACACCATCCTCAGAGGAAGCTATTACAGATGAGGAAGCTGAGGCTAAACTATTTTACATATGAGGAAGCCAAGGCTAAAAGAGGTTGAGTAACTTGCTCAAGGTCACAAAGTTAGTTAAGTGGCAGAACCAGAAATCAACACCACCCTGATTCTGATTGGCACTTGGATTTGCATCCAGAAGTCCAGAGATAAGCTAACATTGGATTTGGGAACACTGAGAAGACTTCACGGTATAGAGCCGTGCTTATACCCATGGCAGAGTATGTCTAGTGGAATGAGAAAAGGGCCCATTCTGAACAATGAGGAATCACTGGCATATAAAGTAGGGTAGGAAGCCCTACCTGATGGCTCCTGCCCAAGCAGACCTTTCTGTTAGAAGAGCTTCTAGATGGAGGAGTCAGGAGCTTCTGGGACGGACAGTCATGCCTGATTCTATTCCAGCCAGAGCTAAGCCATCCCTGAAAACACCCCATTCCTCTCTGTCCTAGGCTCCCCCATAGAAGGTCAGAGTACGAAGCCTGACCAATACTGGGTGGGAATTCAATATGTGTCAAAACAACTTATGTTGTCAGAGCTGCTCACACCTCCTGAGGTCATGGAATGTGGAACCAACCACAGACCCTCTGAAGTGGGGATGCAGGGTTCACATTCAGGTGAGAGTGGACGTGCGGGGTACAAGGGACTTCCAACACCAGGAGGTTCGGTCTCCTCCCGGATGTGGTATCCCAGTGCCTTCCTGCAGATGAAGGGGACAGAGACCTCTCGCAGATATGAAGGGGTGGTCCCCTCAAGTAGAGGGATACAGAGCCTTTGGCCTTTCTCAGCTTTTGGGTGTGCAGATCTTCCTGGTGAGGTAGGTGCAAGAAATCCCCGCAGACAGGCGGGTCCCGCTCCTGTCCCCTGCCCCGGGGGAGGTATCCGGACTGAATAGCCCCTTCAGCCCTCTTCCCGCCCCCGCCCCCGCCCGCACAAGGGGCGGGCCAGTCTGCTCCAGGGCATAACCAATGGCAAGGGAGCCTGGCACGGGCAGCCAATTAAATAGCGGCAGCGGCGAGGGATGGCTCCTCCTCCGGCAAGCCGCCGGCCGCGGCCTCCCAGGAGGCGGGGCTCCTTCGCTGTTTTTGCGGCCGGCGGAGCCTGGCCGAGCCTAGCCGAGAGACCAGTCGAGCCCAGCCGAACGCAGCCGAACGCAGCCGAGCCTAGACGAACCCCGCGCCCAGACCGCCGCCGCCGCCCGAGCGCCGCCGTGCGAGCAAGCGAGCGGCCGCGGCCGCGGAGGAGGCGCCGCCCCAGGGGGAGGAGGTGGCCGCTCGCCGCAGACCGCCCGCGGCAGAGGCCGCCCCGGTCGCGCCGCGGCGGGAGCGGCCGGCGGAGGCTGCGCTGCTGAGGGGGAGGGTCGGGGGAGGGGACGTCACCCCTGCCCGCCTCCCGCTGACCCCCGCCCGCAGGCTCCCGAGCATCATTCGGCGCCCAGCATCCCGCTAGCCCGGATCCTCCCGCGGGCGCGCACCGGGCTTAACTCAGGTAAGAGGGGCCCACCCACCACGGGCATGGGGGTTGAGAACCAGAGACGGAGATAAAGAGGCTTAAGACTCAGAGACACAGCCGGGGAGAAAGAGAGTCAGACACAAAGACAGACACGCGAGAGACGCTCTGAGAACTACAGAGACCTCACAGAGAGGGGAGAGAGACACGTCCACGGGGACAGATGGACACGCAGCAGGGAGAAAGAGAGACGAGAGCCACAGGAGACCTAGGCATACAGAGACCGATCCAGAGATAGACAAAGAAAGAGACTAGGAGAGAAAGGAGACACGAGAGACGCTCAGGACTCAGATATGGGGACACATAAGAGAGACAGGTATAAAGAGAGCTACAGATGGGTACACACCGGAGCTGGGTATACAGAGGCCGAGGCGCACATCCAGGCAAGAACCGAGGGACAGAGTAAGAGCCAGACACAGAGACGCACGCACCTGACCTGGCGAAACAGCCTCTCCGACAGGCACACCTAGGTACACGGTTTTGGGTACACAGACCCACACACGCCTGCCAGGCCTCCACAAAGTTCCCTCTGTGTGAGCTGGCGCCTCTGGAGGTCTCCTGGGCCGGCTGGCTGAAGTCCTGAGAGCAGGGAGGTGCCCAGGCCACACCAAAGCTGGTCACAGTGCCCATCCTTCAAGGCCTTGGGCTTCCTCAAGCCCACCCACTCCTACAGTTCTTCTGAGGGCTGGACGTTCAGTGGACAGGTCCAGGCCATGCCCACTCCGGCTTCCCCACTGGGGCCACGCCCCCATCCAGGTGCCCAGAGCCAGGTCCTGGCTCTGTGGGGTGTTTAGACCTGTTGGGAGCCCGGAGGTCTGGGAGGGGACTGTCTTCTCCACCCTCTCCCCCTCAGCCTCACCCTCCCCTTTCCTTCTCACCATACTTTGCCTCTGCTGTGTACCCCCACAGGCTCAGACATCTCCACTGCCCAGGGATCACTGAGTGTGTGGAAGGCCGGCTGTCCCGGCGCCCTGCTTCGGCATGGGTCCTGCCGTTGAGGCAGCTTCTCAGCCTGTGCTCGTCTGAGGGTGCGCCCGTCATGGGGGCAGCCCTCTCCCAGGGGGCCCTCATCGCCATCATCTGCAACGGCCTCGTCGGGTTCTTGCTGCTCCTTCTCTGGGTCATCCTCTGCTGGGCCTGCCACTCGCGCTCTGCCAACATCGACTCCCTCTCCGAATCCAGTCCCAACTCCAGCCCTGGCCCCTGTCCTGAGAAGGCACCCCCGCCCCAGAAGCCCAGCCATGAAGGCAGCTACCTGCTGCAGCCCTGACGGCCCTTGGCCTAGCCTGGAGTCTGGGACTTAAGTCCACCCCACCTGGCACCTGGAATCGGGATCCCAGGGTCCAGCCGGCCTGGGGTCCAGAACTCAGAGTCCAGCCTGTGTGGAACTGGACCTAGCCACCCAGTGTCTGGTCGGCCTGGCTCCAAGAGGGGCCCTGCTGGCCCTAGGTAGACAGGCCTGGGGCAGGGGTTCATGAGTTGGTGCTAGGGCCAGGGCCATCTGGACTCTCCTCCATCCCAGCGGTCGGGGGTGGGGTCCACCCTCCCCCTAGGCCAAGCGCCTCTCGGCCCTCAAGGTTGGGGAAGCAAACTAGAATCCATGGCAATAATGGGAGGGTGTCCAGGCTGGGCCCCTCCTCTGGTCCTCCTACTGTTTGCTGGATAATAAATGGATCTAAGGCTCTACGCTGAGATTCTCTCCTCTTCCTGGGGGCCCTGCTGTAGCAAAATTAAAGATGTGGGTGGACTTCCAGACAGGTTTATTTGTGCAAAGTAAGCGAGGGTAACAGGGGTTCAGGACCAAGTCCTGGGGTGAGGTGATGGGACCAGGGCCAGAGCAGGGGGCTGGGACCTGATCAGGGGTAGTGTCAGACACATACTGGGTACTAAGGCTGGGCTGGGGTACTGGTGTCAGGGGCTACAAGTACTAGGTTCAAGACATGGGCCAGGTTCAGAGGCCAGGCCCTCAGGTCTTGGTTTTCACTTCCCTCACCAGGTTCAGCAGTTTGTCCAATTTTGCGATCTCCACAGCTGGCCCCTTCTGTACTTCCTGGCCCTTCTTCTCCTGGGGAGAAGAGAAGTACACAGTAGGGAGGACTGGTGAGGGAGAGGCCACCTCTCGCCGCCTCCCAGCATCACCTCTTCAGCCCAGCTTACCCCAGCACTGCCGCACCCTCTCCTCCCAGTTAGCTTCTGGACCCCTGCCTCCCTCTCCTTCCTGGTTAGCGTCCAGACCTCTGCCTCCCCCAACCTCTGCAGGATCCTTCCCCATCTCACGTTCGATGACCAGGGCCCAGCTAAGGCCTGGAAGAAACATCCAAGTCTTGTTTCTGAACCTCAGATGGACATGGAATCCTGATGGTGGGGGCAGCAGGGAGGGGGGCAAGCCAGGAAGAGCTGTAGTCCCAGACCTCTACCGGTCGGGACCACCCTTCCTACAGGAAGGTCTCTGGCTGAGTCCTAACGAGGAGCTAAGGTGTGTGTGTTTGTGGAGGGAAAGTGTGGACAAAGCCACAGGTGCTCTTACCCAGTACTCCCAGCTCAGGCAGGGCGTGGGGTACCATTTGGGGCCAGGCCTGCTGTGTCAGTTATTCCCAGGTGGGGGAGGGTGTCAGGAGGGCAGATGGCACGTCCCATGTGGTCCCCGAGAACAGGGGGTCTTGAATTAATGACCCCACCCCCTGACCCCTGGCCACGGCATTTCACATGTGGTGCAGTGGTAAAAAATCTGCCTGATAATGTAGGAGATGCAAGAGACGTGGGTTCGACCCCTGGGTTGGGAAGATCCAATGGAGTGGGAAATGGCAACTTACTGCCTGGGAAATCCCATGGACAGAGGAGCCTGGCACGCTAGTCGTGGGATCACAAAAGAGTCAGACATGACTGCGCGCGTATGCGCACGCACGCACACACACACACACACACACACACACACTTGCCTACTTGCCTACAGGGCACTCTCATCCGTTTGCTGGTAAGCTGGGCCCTGAGAAAACGTGCTGGGCCCCTGGGTGTGTGTGACTCCCAGGCCTGAGAGCTCCTTGGCAGACCAGCACCAGGGCCATCCTCCCTTCTGTCCAGGCAGCGGGGTGCGGGCTGGGTTGGGGGAGCTGCCATTTCTTGCCTTCCCTCTGTGCCCGAGCCCCCTGCCCTCTCAGCCATCTGTGCCCAGGGCTCACTGGCACCTGCCCCAGTCTTGCCTGCTGGGGACCCAGCCTGGATCTGGCCATGGCTGTGAGGTGGGGGGAGAGGTGGGGCCCGCGGGCCCTTTTCTGGCCCATCTTGGCTGCCGACACCCGGTGGAGCTCAGATTTCCTCCTGGCATGACTCCTGCACCTGTTTCCAAATCTGTCTCCCTCTCCCCTCGTGGCACAGCGCCTTTGCCCCTGCCCCGCTCACCCCCACACTCGTGAGGCAGAGGACAAAGATGTCTCTTTCTCCCTTCCCTCTCTCTCTCCCAGGTTAACCTCATGTTCTCTTTTCACCCTCACCTCATCTCCTGGGAGTCAGGAAGCCTGGCTTTTAGTTGTTAACTCCCTATATGACTCTGGGCAAGTTCCTTGCCTTTCCGACCTACAGCTGCCATCTAGACAGTAGCTGGGGAAAGCAGGCCTTGACCTTTGGTGGGCTCTGACACCAGTCACGGGGCGCTCCTTGAGCTGGCAGTCAGGCCTCTGTGGCCCAGCCCTCTTGGGGAGATCAGGGAGACTGCAGCCTGCAGAGGGGGGCAGGAGGGATGCCCACAGGACTTCCTCTGGCCCCAGTCACTTGGCTGCTGATAGAGTCAGGTGGCAGTTTCACAGGAACTGCCAGTCCATGCAAGAACTAGCCCCCAGCTGTCACCTGCTCAGGTTCTCTGACTCCCAGGTACCCATGTCCTCAGATCCTTAGACATACTGATGCTGACCCTTGCTCTGAGGAGTTGAGACTGTGGGAGACCCTTGCCTCTCTGGGTCAGAGTGGGCAAGGCAGGCCTCCCGCCACATCTACTGCCTTCAACTGTGATGGCTGTCCCCCAGCCCCCAGAGGTCACCACCATCCCTCCCACGGGGCTATCCAACTCTACCAGCTTAAGCCTGGGTCTTGCTCTTCACTAAATCAAGAGCAGATTTTATGTTCCACAAATTGTACTGCCTTCCTCAGGCTCCTGGAGGCCAGGCCTTAGCAGAGTTTAAGACCACGCCCAACCCACCCCCACCCCCCCAGTCCCACCCCACCCCCAGCCCACCACAGCCTCTGGGCCACAGCTGCAGGCACTCAGCAGCCTTCTGAGTATTTATAGCCAAGTCCACCCCCTCCCCCAGCTGGCTACAATTACAGGCCTGGCCAAAACCCCAGCCCTTGCCTCCCTGGCCATGGTGGGGAATAGGCCAGGCTGGCGTGAGAGGGTTAGTGCAGTGGCGCCTGCCTTGGTGGTGGCACATGGGGGCAGGTGTCAGCAGTTGAAAGAGGCCCCTGCTGTTTCCTCAAACTGCAAGTAAAGGCCTCAAATGGCAACCTGGGGGGTACAGTCATCAGGGTAATGTGGCTCAGCCCCAGCTCAGCTCTGACACTGGTTCAGAACCTAGCAGGGAGAAAATTCTCTCCTAGCACCCAAATGGACAGGACTGGGATCTAGGCTTTTGGATTTTTAAATTGAACCCTTGGGCTCTGGATTCTAAAGTCTGGGTTCTTAAGTGTGAATCAGGACTCTGAGATCTAGACTTTAAGGTCATGGCTCTGGGCTCTGTGGCCTGTATTCAGAGCCCTTGGGCTCTGGCCAGGATCTCTGGATCATTCTAGATCCCAGAAAGGAACCAGAGCTCAAAAGGAGGACTGCCTAACTACTGACCTAGTTACCCTCCTCATGGCTCATTTCCTGCTTCCTGTGTGGACCCGCAGCTCCCAGTTCAGGGACCATTGAAGTTGAAGCTCTGTGCAAAGCCCAGCGAATGACCAGAAACTAAGCCTCGAGCCCCTGCTTGGATAACACCAAGCAAGCCAATGATGCCCATGTACTTCCCCCAGACTTTGGACTCTAGTCACCTGCTTACCTGTTGTCTCCACCTGGGGCTCAGATTCAGCGTGTCAGAACCCATCTGTTCCCCTACAAACCTACTTCTATGCTCCTCACTTGGACAACGACACCACCCTTACCCTGGGCCTCCAAAGCCAGAAACCTGGGGCTATCCCCTGGCTCCTCCCCTTTCTCTCACCAACCACCCACCTCCTCACTATCCCGCCATCCTGGAGACTTTCTTTTGTGGCAGCCCGAATTCCCCAAGACTGTACCTTCGGCATCTTTCGCAAGTTGGGTGAGAGCTTGAGGCAGGTGACGTGCCCTCGGTCATCGCCCACAATGATGATGGGGTGGATGGGGTTGAACTGCACGTGGGTGAGCTTGTTCTTCTTTCTGGCCACCACGGGCTGGTTGCAGATGGCCTCGTACTTGTTGATGGACAAGTCAAACACGTGGGTCTGTGAAGAGGTAGGTGTCAGCACAATCAGGGAAATGGGGTCCCTGTCCCCACTCCCCCCAGCCAGAGGAACTGCCCCTGGACTTTCTGGAGCTGGAGGCAGTAGGAGAGGTATTTGTATCTCTGTTTGTTTTTCCTATGGTTGAGGGAATGACAATAAAATATTTAGGAGAAAATTTAAGTCTCTACAGAATTAACAGTAATAGCAGCTGCCATTTATGGAGCACTTACAGCTTCCCTGGTGGCTCAGATGGTAAAGAATCTGCCTGCAATGCAGGAGACCAGGGTTCAATCCCTAGGTTGGAAAGATCCCCTGGAGAAGGGAATGGTCAACCCACTCCAGTATTCTTGCCTGTAGAATTCCATGGACAGAGGAGCCTGGTGGTCTACTGTCCATGGGGTTGCAAAGTGTCGGACACAACTGAGCAACTTCTGTAATATGATGTACTAGACTCTGGGCAAGCATGTTACCTGGTTGCATCATCTAATTACAATAGTCACAGCCACTCTATCAGGTAGGTTGGTTCTGTTATTTTCCACAT